AATTTCGTTTTTAACTTATAGTTTAGATATATTTACAAATAATAACTGTTGTTTTTTCTTTTTCTTCTTTTTTTTTTTTTTTTTTTTTGTTACATTAAATGTCACGTGCGCGTAGACATACATATACACGTTTAAATACATAAATTAAATATATTTAAGAATGCAAAAAAAGAAGCCAGAAAAATTAAAAATTCCATTATAGAAATATTCTAAATATTCATACATGATAAAAGCCATGAAATTTATTTAAAAAAATTTCAAGAAATTTCATAGCATTTAAATTCATATTTAAATATTATTCATATATTATATTTTTGTTTCAAATGTTTGCAAATTAAAAAGACTTAATAATTGTATGAGGATTAATAAAAATGTTGAAAATATATTTATTATTAGTTTTAATTTAACAGAATATAATATTATTTTTTATTAACATTTATTTAATAATTACAAAAAATACATTTTTGAAAACAATATTTTCATATTATTTATTTTTAAACATAAATATCAAATTTAATTAGCCTAATTTTAAACTATCTTTAAAGATTTTATGAAACTAGTATTGACTATTAAGTTTTATGCCGTTCTTTTTGTATTTTATAACAATATTTAAGTTTTGCCCATATACCTTGACACATATTTTGTAAACGAATATCATTTTGATTTATAGAAAACTTATAAATACGCTTTACTATCTGTTTTGGAGTTTTTAACTGACCTTGTTGAATCAAACTTAAGGCAATATATAATTTACAACGAGCAACTAGAAAAGGATCTCTAAGACGAAGCGCCAGTTCAAATTGTTTTATGGAAATTTTTCCTGCTATTTCAGCCTGCATAAGAAAAAATATTATGTTTAAATAAAATTTCATATTTTTTCTTAAATTATTCCAAAATTTAATATATATAAATCAATCAAATTTTAATATTTTTTAAATATATTTCATAAGAATAGAAATTACACAATATTGAAATTCTTCTCCTAAAGCAGAAAATGCTCCACCTAAAGTAGATAACCAAGACATAGCATGATCAACTTCTCTTCTTTCCATTGCTATTTGTGTTATTTTTTGATTCCTAAAGTTAAATTTCATTTTACTATACAATTTCATAACATTGAAATAAAAAGATTTTGATTAAATCAGTATTTGAAATCTTACCATTTGTAATCTAAGAATTGTTTTCTTGGCATTCGTAATTTTATTAAAATTATTTTTGAATCTACTTTATTTAACAATTTATATGCTAAGTATTGCAATAATTTTTTAAATGCAGCCTTTCGATATGTTTGTGAATTTATTAATGTTGTAATATATGCTGATATAATATAGGCATTAAATCCTTTCCTGTTTAAGGAATTTCTATTTACTTGTACTACATTACTTTCATTGACATTGTTCATATTAATACTTGTTTGATATATACTTTTACTTGCTCTTACTTTTTGTTCGTATTTAATCACAGAATAATATGTAATAATAATGCTATCGAAAATTGTGCTGCCTTTATGTATAATTAATTTTATTGAATCATCCATTTTTTTATTCAGTATATGACAATAAATGACTTTTTAAATAAATGACAATATTGCTTCATTACATATGGAGTCATTACTATATAATAATATGAATTATACATATTAAAAATTTGTATCACAAATATTGTTTCCACTAACACTATACGTTTTTTGTAAATATTGGTTATAAATTTTATATAAATAAATTTGATGACAATATTTAATTTGTAAGAAAATTATAGTGATTTTTTCTATTTTTAACATTTCCAAAACATTTTTTTATGTCTTGTCTTTTACACAAATTTTTAAGTTAACAATTTAAGGTTAGAAATTAATTCGATATATGCGTGTTAATGATAAGATGGTAGAGGTGATAACATTAAAATGATGCAAGTTACTTATTAAAATTAAAACAATAGCATTTTCATTTTTTAAACCATTAAATTTAAGTTTAAGTATCTTACACATACACATAAATATATACAAGCTTTATGATATGTACTATGAATTCCTATTAAATGTATTATAAGAAATATATAAAATATATCTATTTATATTAATTTTCAATAATATAAATGATTAAATATTATTTAGAATATACATACGTATCTTTGAATGACAATAATTGCAATAATAATTTTATTTTTACACGTTTAGTTATAAAATTTATTAAAATTTAAGTTTCTATCGACGTACATGTATATAATATTCATGATGACATCTATGCATAACACTTAAAATAATAAATATTTATTCATTAATTATTCATATATGAATTATTCGATCTTTAATAATAATTCTTTAATAAAATAAATTAGATTAAATTATATTAAATTACATTTTGGTAAATAAAAGATGTAGTTTAGAAAAAGAAATTATATATATCTTATAATACAAGGAATAAGAATAGTAAAATAAGATTAATTAAAACACAGTTGTCTATAATATTTATATATGTCAAAATGATTTAAGAAATTTATTATATTGAAAATATTTGTTAATAAATTACAAATATTATTTTAGTTTTTTTTATTTAACTATTTTGAATGATGCAATCTTATTGGTTTATCATTATATATACATCAATTATCAACATAAGCGAAATATATATGTAATGATATAAAATATATTAATAATATAATATAAAATAAATATAAATAATATAAAATATTAAAAATTAAGAATTACTATCAAAATTATATATATATATTAATTATACAATTATTGGATTATAATATAAATTATAAGTTATACAATTTCCAAATATATTTTGATTATTTTATACTATTTTATATACTATTATATAAATTGTTATTTACATATTTCATGTAAGTGCTGCAATAAAGATATAAATTTTATATGGAAAAATTTAATTGAAATTTATAGAATGATATAATAAATTATTAATTATTTATATTTCTTTTGTATTTTATATTATATATATATTATTATTATTTATTATATATATATCATATTTATTTTCATTTCATATATTATTATCAATCAATAATCTTAAAATATATTTTTATATATTATAATTTATATAAATAAGAGATGTTATTAAATAATTATTTATTTAATTATAACTAATCTATAAATAATCCATATTATAAAGCAACTAATTATTTATACAACATTCAATTTTTAAAAATTGATTATTGAAATATTTTTATATAAATTAAAAATAAAAAACTATATAAAAAAATTATTTTATGTATTATATTATGTATTATTTATAATTTGAATAAGTAAAGAATTAAAATAAGATATTAGAATATATATTATAATCAATTAAATAAAATTATATTATGTAGTTCAGGGTAATATAAAACATGTTTTGCGCCACTGTGCGCGTTATACGATAGCGCAGTTATTGGCATTTCCCAAAATTTAACCGACCAGTCATAAACAGCAATCTGAACACACCTCTGCGATGAACCAATCAGAGGACTAGTATCTATTGTTACGGTATAGTAATTGGGGCAACGTACAACAATTGAAATTCACTTAATCGCATTATATTTGTAATAAAATAAAAAAGAATCTCTTTTGAAAAATTTATATGCTTTTTAAAGTTGCTTTTAAGCAAGTATTTTGTATAGATTTTATATTACAAACGGTATTGTCGGAAGGTAAGCGTTTGACTCGTACGTCGCTGGATGTCTACGAGTACCCCACCTTGTGATTCGGTCTAAACTTTGACGAGATACCTCTATTGGTATTGGGGTCTCCGACTCGATCGTGGCAAGTTGGATTTACCCCGTTTGTCACTGAGAAAATTGCCTTGCCCAATTTACGTTTTAAATTGAAACATTTACGTATTTCTGCCCGTTAGTTTTTTTCAGTGAAACTCAAAAGACAAAAATTATAGCGGTAGGCGGGTTGCAAATTTTCTAAATAGAGCGTCTCATTGCTGACATTTCGTACATTAGACACGCGACGGCCAGGTATGGCGTTTTTGAGAACGGTGCCGCGTTGCAGTGCCGGTAAAAAGTTAAGGAAGTGTTTACCACTTCCTATTGGGTTTCTCGAGAACATAACGAAGCCATCGGTGCAGTTGGTGCAGGTGCACGAACGTGAATACACCGGTACTACTACTGACGTGAAGCCGGCTCCACGGCAGATTGATCCTTTGGATTTGAAGTTTAACGATCCAATTGCTGCTTTTAAAAGTAAAACCACGAAAGAACTACTTCGTGCCTACGTCGTTTATCAACTATGTTCGATCGAATATATTGTCGAGAACAATATGAAGGTAAGTTCTTAATATTATACTTAACATTTCATATGATTATTTTGCAAATTATATATTATACATTTATTAGATATAAATTATTCGTATGACATACAGTGATATGAAATAGTTGACATGTGCTCGTTTGCTCTATAGAGTTTTCTTTCTTTTTCTCTCATGTTATTAAAATAAATATTTAACATATTTAGTATGTTATATTATATTATCTTCTAAATTAAAAAGTTATTTGTAAAATTTCGTATTTTTTTATAATATTTGTCAAGAAAATGCATAGATAAATTTATTAATACAAATTTCAAGAAATATTTTTATTATGTTTAATGAAATATTTTAAAATTTTTATCATTTAAAAATTTTTAATTTAAAATATTTAATATAGATTAATAATAATAATAATAATTAAATATTGATTTAAATCATGTGATATAATCACGTATAACATGAAAAATATAAAAATTTTTATATTTGATATTATTACTTATATTTAAAATAATTTTTAACATAAATTAGATATATATATATATTAATATTTTATTAAAATAACTTAGATTTTCATCATATTTTATTATGTTAAAATAATTGTAGTTGTTAATTAAAATGATTTTGAACTAAATAATGAAATTTTTTATTTTCATATGAATTACATATATAATTGAAAAATCAATCAATGAAATTGAAATTTTTAATAATTGAAATTGAAATTGTAATATTTTTATTTTGATAAAAAAGATGAAATACATATAAAATTAGATTATAACAAAATTGATTACATTCAACTCTAAGAATAAAATTTAATTTTTCGTGAAAAACTAAATCTTCTATAAAAACTATATAAGATTTATACGTTATTCTATATTACCGGAAGGAAGTCGTTTATATAGTTTCTACTTGTACGTTACACAATATGTATAGATGTCGGAAGAATGTATGATCAAATAAAATATTAAAATATATTGAAAACAGAAGCATCGATTAACCAATTTCTGATTTCTCTTCAAAGAAATAGGAGTAAATTTTTATTCATTAAATTTTTACGTAAAAAAGAAATTTTTACTTATCAGATGAAACAATGGCCTTTTATCAATAGCATCAGGATTCGTAGACAATTTATAATATAACGACGTGGCATGGCACGTTATTGATTTTAGTAATGCTTAATACATTGAATTGAACTAACAATTTTGTCGCAAACTTATGTGATAGTCAATTACGTAACACCAAAGAAATCGGTCGAGTATAGTGGATTGTAAAAATCTATGCGAGTTCATTGGCAAGCTATCGGGGTGTTACTATTGTATAAACGTAAATTTTTTCTAGCATATTTTAATCGTAATTAAATTTATTATTTTACTTTCAATAATATAATAAAATAATATAATAACAATATAATCAAGAATTTATATATAAAATATTTCTTACTATCAAAAATATTTCTATATTCACATAATTTTGTAAAATAATTTATAATTATTATATTAAATATAAAATATAAATATTTTTTTTCTATTTATTGCTAATTAATTTAAATAAAACAATTGAACAAACTGTATGATAGGAATATTTTTTCAATTTATAATTTATTCATAATTTATTTTTTGATAATTATGAATTCTTATTAATAAGAATATTTAATTTAAGAATATTTAACAATATTTTTAAAAAATATGTATTTCTTTTGAGATTGTAAATCTTTTATATAGAATATTTATATAGAAAATTTATTTAGAAAATGAATTTTTCATCTAGTATTTAAAGTTTTTAAAGTAATAAACGAGAAATATACTTGTTAATATATTTATTGGAATTAATTAGGATTTTATTAAATTATAAAATATCATTGATTGAAATATATTCGTGACACGTTAATTCCGTCTTTGCCATCGTATCGATTTTAATTTACATCGGCTTTATGCTTGCTTGAGGACAGGATTATTTAAGTTCTGTTCTGAATATCATTACTAATACGCTAATGTGATAGAAATATTTAGAAATATGCAATGTGTGTTAATCTATGACACTAACAACTATCGTATTACTATTTAATGTTATTGAAAATAATCACTAAATTCTTTCAAAGTAAATGTTAAATATGGATTAAAATTATATAGTATATATATATATATATATAGTAGATATAGATATATAGTATATATACAATAATATATAATAGATTTTGCATTATAGGATATAAAAGAATATGAAATTCAGAATATAAAATTCTATATTATATCAATACAAAATAAATATTAAATAATATAATATAAAAGTTATAATAATGTACAAGATGATGATTACAAATGAAAGATTAATTGTTTTAAATGATATTTTTTTCTATATTTTAGTGAAAGTACTACAGAATTTTTTTTGTTTTGTTTTATTTCTGAATGATGTCGAAGTGTCATATATTGCTGATAGAATCATTTCATTATTGCATTCATTAAATATATATATATAATCATTGCACAAAAACTAATTTATTTGTATCTAATTATAGTATGCTTTTTATCGAATCATTAATAGAAGAATGCGTATATATATATAGATATTTGATGATTCACTTCCTATCTTGAATATATAAACCTTCCCACACTTTATTGATTATTATTGATTTTTAAACTGCGACATGATTCCTTAGCGTCTTCGTTTCAGACTCTTGAACAACGGAGCCAAGCATTGTCTTTTTGCAATATAATTATTCGAGAAATATTTATTTTGATATTTGTGCCATATTTATTTTTTAAATCAATTTTCAAATGTCTGATTTATTTATTGCATTGATAAAAGAAAATAGATAATAAATATATAATATAAAATATGTATTTTTTTCGAAAATGATAAAATTAAATATAATCAATAATTATGTAGTGATTTCTTTTTATTTTAATTATTTGATGTTAATCTTTTTTTTTAACAAATTTTATTTTGTCATTATAAATTTTTTTATTTATTTTCATAAAATAAAGGAAAAATTTTAAAAATTTAATCTTAATATCTTCTTAGTTTAATCCATTTGATATTTCAAATTTAAAAAAGTTTTAAAAAAAATTAGGATAGGGTAAATTTGATATCTAAGATTATAAACAACCAATTAATTCTTTTTTTTTTAAAAAATCTTCTTTAAGATCAACAATTTAAAAGATGAAAATATTTTTTTAAATTTAATTCAATAATTTAATCATTAATTAACTATAAAATTTATGAATATTATTATTAATTAATGAATATTATAGATTAATAGCTATCATCATAAACTAATTACTCAGATACATTATCATATCTTACTTAGATAAAAATTCTTTAAGTTCTATATATACATAATTAATTGATTGTGTTTTTTTAATTTTATAATTTAATTCAAATGTGTTAGATTACGAAATGATAATAACATAATCATTTATGAAATTTTATTAATAATTTTCGTATGAGTATCTTAATCTTAGTTACTGATATTTTTTTTTATCTAAATTTCTATTTTTTTTATAAAAATATTTGACAATATTATTTGTATCATATGTAATATCTATTTATTGTACCTATCTAATTATATAAATACATAAATTTTTGATAATATATTTTCATTTATCATTGTGCATATTTATTAAATGTATAATTAGTATTTTGTATTAATTGATTTAGATTATCAGTTTAGAAATTAAGGTTGAAACTTGATTTTTGGATTCACAAAATTAGAATCTGAAATTAAAAAAAGTTTCTATTACTACTTTCAATGTTTTGACTACAAAACCGCAAAGTTTTGTTTACAAACATTCATTGTTCAGTGAATTACATTTTAGTCTTAATTGCATACATGCACGAAAATTTTAAAACTCAATCTTTTCAAAAATTATTTTATCTCTTTTTTATTTTTTCTTGAGGAATCATCTCATATATATTATTTGTTCTATATATTTTCCTCAAATTATACGATAGAAATAATGAGATATCATTAAATTTTCTATTTTTTGAAATTTTTATATATTAAATATATATATATATATTTTTATATATTTAATATAATAATAGTAATATAATAATAATTTAATAATAAAAATTCTTTTTAAATTAAAAAAAAATTTAATATTTTACAATTAAAAAGTTCTAGTAAAAAGTTTAAGCATATTCAAATATTGAAATATATTTCTTGAAAGTATTATATTATTATATTATTAAAGTATATATAATGTTCAACATTCATGTATTAAATTAATAATGATAACAATAAATAAAAAAAGTTATTGAGATTATTATCAATTCTATACATAAATTATTAATTTTCAAAAATATCGTTAATATTTGATATATTCAAAAAAAAAAAAAAGAAAAATGATTATTGGGAACATATATAGAAGATGTTATTTCGTAACATGAAATCATATGTATCTTTGATAGTAGTGCAAATTAAAGGTGGTGAATCAAATAGAGTTTAGTATGTAATTACATATAATTTATAGATAATCTACATCTTTTGATTTCTATCTTTATTCTAAAACTTTCTAAATGTTTATTTTAATTTAGGAAATATTAATTAAATCATTTTTATTTAATATTAAAATACGAAACGAAATAATATTTCTACTTTTAAATTAATAAAATCCCTTGTTACTATGCAATTATTTATATTAATATTCATTGATCTATCAGATTTATTATTTTTATACTTTTTTGAATTATATAATATTATTTTTATTATTATATCATTTTATCTGTTTCTTCTAAAATAATAATGATTATTCACTATTTTGTAATTTTGAAATATTATATATTATTATACATTATGTTATTATTTAATATTATATAATATTATATAATATAAATCAAAAAAATGATATATATTTTCATAATATCTGGAAATTATTATCATAAATTTGTTATTATAAATAAAAAATTTATAAAATTTTGCTAAACTAACTATTTTTCTAAATCAACATCATTTTCACACAATCATTTTTATTAATAATATGTATTCTTTTTTAAATTGTATAAATATTTACAATTATTAA